TAGTTTAGTTTGTTGTCTTTCCCCCCTGCACCTCTGCTTTTTAGCACGGTTGGCTACGCACGGTGCCAAAGACGTTAAACATACATAGGATACTGCAGACGTATTGAACATAGACACGCCATCTGCTTCAAAGTGGACGTGCGTACACATTTTGTGTCGCACAGGGACAGCTGCCACTGGGGGGGGGGGGTGTCCAACTTGCAAAGTGCAGCAGGGATTGGCGTGGTTGATATGATGTCGTGAGACATTGTGTTGCTGAGCCATGTAAGAACTATACATGTAACTCCTTATCCTAATTGTCATAAGTTAATGTGCACATGAATTAATGCATACATCTGTCTTGTTTTTAGGATCAAGTAACAAACTTGGAGGAGATAAAATATCTCCAAAACAAATTATAATCCACGAAGACTACAACAGGAACCCAGACGCTCATGTACAAATCGAAAATCTGGATAATGACATTGCCCTTATTAAACTTAGCAAGCGTATAACATTTGGATATACATATCGGTAAGCAGTTCGTCATTAAAAACAGATATTGCTTGTCTTCTTCGAAGCCAGAAATCTCATTATTGCCTAGGGTCGGCTGCTCAGATATTACATTTCCCACGTGGTTCAGCTCTTTGCCTCTTCTCTAGCCATTCGTACAAATCTATCGTATACATTCGCTAACGTTGGGTGTTCCAATGTTTAATTCTCACGATACTCCATGATACATCTTTTTCTTATATCAAAGTTAAACGCGAGGACATTCATTTGAATGAACATTTTCTACGTTACTTGAGTCACACGTGCACACATATGAAGGTATCGTCATTTGAATCAGCGTTCTCTACATCACATGGAACGTGTTCAGCAGGCGTGTGAAGTGTGTAATAACGTTTTACTTGCGGATTATGCACATTTGAATTTTGTGTTAACTAGATAAAGAGACCACACTGCAACAGGGTTACCCAGAATGCAATGTGTCGGAAACATTTTATAATTTTTACTTTTAATACAAATTAGTTTGTTGTAATACACGTGTGACCATTGAAGGATTTGGTTATTACTCTCTCTACGAAAAGGTAACTAATCACGTTCCTATTTAAAACTATTCGTCACAATTTTTGTACATTTTAATTATGATCAGACCGCACGATGAACAGTGCAGTACTTAACTGTCATCCACTATCTGTACTCTCGATTTTATGGTGCTAGGAAGAAGGGGTCCTTGCCCGCAACAATATTACCACATGTTTATTTTTAAGGCCACGGTGTTATTGACAAATGATAAGTTTGTTATTTGTGCCCGTGCATCACGACCGATGCGGCATCGACAAATAACGTGTTACACTTGGAACAGAAGTAATTATGTGGTCAATTCATGGTGGGTTGTGAGCTATCGCAACTGAGAATGAATGTGTCTTTGGGAAGTGCTTGGGTTGTTGTACAACTTTTGGTCGGTCTGGAGCAGGGGTCTGGCAACCAAAGATGAACAAGGAGCGCCAATTTGTTCGAATTCGGTAAAACCAAACTAAACGTTTAAGGAGCCGCAAAGCGTGTGGATAACGTCGAACCATAGAATTGTTTTGCAATCGCTATTTTAAAAACGGCACACGCAACAGTGATTTGTAATGCCGCATTGCAAATCATTGTGGGGCTTTGAGACGTTCGCCGTTTAAGCATATTATAATTAAGAGGGTGTTTGGGTTTTGTTGTTTTTAACTTTGCAATGACGGTGTCTGAAGTCACGAAGCGGTCCTTAAAGAGCCACATGCGACTCCTGAGCTGCAGGTTGCCTCGACCCCCCCCTGGTCTCGAGCAATCTCACGCACACTTCAGGTTTCAAGATGTTTCGAGAGCTTACTCTCCAAAACCCCGAACAAGATACAGAAAGCCTCAGTAATTCAATCAAAGGGGTCCACGTCAGTCGTCACGCAGGAGGAACGAGTTTTCTCACGGCGGCAGATTCAGTGATCATTATTTTTTCTCGTATAGAGGGTGCTTCAAGTAAAATATGAACACTTACATGGAACTAGCGGTATTGTTGCAAATTCTCCGAAGTGTAAACATGTTTTTGAAGCACCCTGTATATCTCCCCTCCCCTCTCTAAATACCATTTCATAAGTTGCACACAGTTGTGCGTGTTCGTCAGCTCGTAGCGCACGATGGGAGCGCCAGTGTTTGGTACATCGCTGGCTGTCGCGTCATCATCAAGGTGGTGACCGGCACCCCCTGTGACGTACGAAGAGCACAAACAACGGCTAATCCCATCGTGTGGCCCCGACAACGGCATTCCGAGGTTTTTCCCGTGTCACAACGAACTTCTGTTATTCTAAAACGCGCTTTCATTCTCACACAGGCCAGTTTGCTTGCCATGTACAAAGGAAACGAATGAGATCCTGGATCTCAATTCGGAAAATAAGGATTGGACAACGCTCTGCAACATACATGGTACGCCTTGCCATGAACAATGATTACCCATTAACACTCCGACGTGCTCCTGGGTTGCACCGGGCGCTGTTCGGCGCAACGTCCCGGGACATTTCGCTGCACGCGCTAGGGAGGTTCTTGAGGAGCTGAGTGGAGCAGTTCCCATTGTACCTCGATTGTCTAAAGCTGCCGGGTGCTTGGAGGTGTTTTGTTGTAGCGTCAGCCGACGATATTAGCTTCATCAAACAGCAGACGGCTAGCAACTTTTTTGAATCGAGATAGAATGAGAGCCGCTTTAAGTTGAGTTTTTCCATCTGGTGTGCAGGAGGTCGTGGGTTCGATCCCGACCCTGACACCTGTATATTCGGCATTTTCACATTCTCCCCCGGGGTAGTGTCGATTTTTCTCCGCGTTGTCTTGTTTTTTCACCTCCACATTTTGAAACATCATCATTAGTTCCATACGCAGATCGCCCGTCGGTGTCCACTGCACATTTCGTTATCCGTTTCAACTTTCCTCTCGTCTCGTGCCGATATTCTCAAGTAGTGACCACATCTTTCTGACACCAATCTCTGATGACGTCGTCAAGCCATCCTTTGTTAGGTATTGCTCTCTGTCCGGTTCCTTCCATTTTTGCAAGCAATTTTTTATTTATTTTCCTGTTCATTCTACGTGTTCAAATAATGCCGGTTGCCGTCTCACCAACGCCTGCATCAGGTCGACTTCTATAGTGTCGGATTATCGTAGTAGCAAAAGTAGCAACACATGCTACAAACCCCGCACTTTCAAGGGCCCCGTGCTAAATGCTTTCAAGCTATCAATTCCGGTTGAGCGATTCTGCACTTGCTCTATTACTATAGTACGATACCGCCTTCAACTTTTTTTTTATTAACGACTGGGTGTTTAAGGTTAGCGCACTAGCTTAAACCGGAACTGCTTCGATGTGCAACATTTTTCTTCTACGTCGATCACTCCTTGGGTCCAGCTGAGATGCAGCATCCTTCTGTAGCAATACAGTTCGAGTGCCAATATCTTATCGCTGTCGGTCTTTTTTTTGTTAACGTCAAAGTCTCACAGGCGTACAAAGCTGTACTGAACACGGATGTCAATGTTCAGTTTGGTCTTGTAGCTGTTTTACTTGCTTCTCGAGATGTTTACATTTTTTTTATTTCAGGAAAAAACCTCATCGATGTCAAAAAAAATACATCACTTACAGTCACAGGATTTGGCCTTCTGGAGGGTGATAAAAAACACGCCCAGCAGCTTCAGCAAGCTACCGTGCAATATGCGGTGAGTGACATCCAAGCGGTCAACCGGCAGGTGGCGTGTGGTGGGGTCAAATGTAGGTAGTCCTACCTCTTCCGAGATGTCTGGCCGGCGTGGAAGAGTAAAGCCACGTTTCATAGTCGAAATGTGAGAAATCGTCCACAGGGACTCCTCTACTTACGAACTAGTTAGGTTCCAGAGGTCTGTTCGTAAGTCGATTTGTTCGTAAGTCAAATTTACTCCTGACGATTCCAAACACGGGGAATGGCTTTAAACGTCGTATCATCTCCTGCAGATGTAGATGCCGCCACCGCCATCTACTGCGTGGCGGTTGAACTTACGACTCTCGGTCCGAATAGGCAACTGGACATATGGGCAAGTTTGTTCGTATGTCTACAAGTTCGTAAGTCGAATGTTCATAAGTAGAGGAGTCCCTGTTATTTTCCCACCTGATGGACGCTTGTGTTGCGCCCGAAACGTCGTGATTTATTTTATTTTCTCCCCTACGCGATTTTACCGAAAGAGCCAAAGGGTATGGATCCCCGTAATTATAATGGGGTGCAAATTGTTGCATTCCTCTTGAATGTCACGTGTACTTTGTTTCCCAGAAAAAGGAAGTGTGCCTGAAAGACATAATGGCCAGATTTAACGTCACCGAAGAGAAAGCAGAGAAGCACATAACAGATAACATGCTGTGTGCATGGAACGCAACATCAGACACGTGCCGAGGTATGCATTTGGCTGTGTTAAAGCCATCAGAGCTTTCGTTAAAAACAAAACAAAAAAACTTTCGTACATTTTACTATGGTTTTTTTTCCCTCGACATTACTTGAACTAGATTTTGTTGTAAGTCCATCAGCCCATGTGGCTTACCAGACCAATATTATTCAGCAGCATTTGTTTAGGAAAGCAAAGCCTAAGATTCATTCTTTTTAGTCTTCACATTTAGCTACGTTTTAGGCCCTCTGAAGTCCACGCCGAAATTTTCGTTTTGACCACCATGCGAAGAACATTCCTCTTCATCATCCCAAAGGTCGCACTCCTTACACACAAAGTGCTTGCCACAAATGAACCACAATACCTTGCTGATCTCACCAAGGAGCAGAAACCATCACACGAACTCCGGCCAAAGCAGTGGCTTTGGGGTAACCATTGAACAAAGGCGGTCACCGTATCGAACGCTTTCAAATGCTCTTGTGCGGACATCTGAAGCACTCTTCCTTCCGATATTAGGAAGCCACTGGAGCTATGTACTTTTAAATCATCTAGATTAAACATTAATTTCTATAGAACTGTTTTTTTGTGTTTAGTTTGTGGTCCTTCCCCCACACCTCTGATCAGCACGATTGGCTACGTACGCTGCGAAAGAAGTTCAACATTTACATACCAAAGCATCGGAAGCAAAAGTCACTGAAATAGATCTCTGAATTAGTTGTTGCGGCATCTCCTACCACAGATCATTCCCCAAAAGCACGATGCATCACTCTGCGCGAGGTCTCAGCAGACGTGTCTAGCAGCATGACACCAACAGCACAGTTGCCATGAAATGGGGGGGGGAGGGAAAAGGCAACAGCATGAAATATAAATGCCTCCATTCCCCCCCCCCCCTACCCACTCCGGTTGTGTGCAGGCGATTCCGGAGGCCCTCTTGTTTTGCAAAAAAACAGAAGATGGATACAGGTGATTTCAAAACACACCTGGGCATTGCCGGTTTGTCTTAGGGGGCACCCTCTGCTTTACAATGGACATTAAGAGATCCGGTGACATAGAAAAAAAAAACAGCAGGTCACGTGGTGCCTGCGTCATGATCAAAATTTGCCCAATTAGAAAAAAAAATACTTGCAAGTTACTTAATTGGAATAACCAGTAGCAACATCACCTCTGCTCCTGGCACTTAATTCCCACTTGCAGGCCAGTATTGTGGTCGCCTCTTGCTACGTGGGGGCAGCTGCCAGCCGAACGGCAGGGGGAGCGGAATCCCATGGTAAAAATTATTCCTTAAAGATGTTGAGTTATGGGTGTAGTAGAAATTCAAGTACTAATATATTAGCCCTGTTCTTTAGTATTTAACCCTGGGTGTTACGGTGCAATTGAATATGCATTTGGAAAAGAGAAGTTTCAGTTTTTTTATTGCAATGACACCATCTCGATTTGCTATCAAGGCTAACTGCTGGAAATATCTTTCAAAATGTATTTTTTTTCAAGAACACGAAACTGAAAACCACATTTGTACTGTTCAAGTGGTGAATTTAGGAGGCCTGTTAGGAAATGGATGGGATATTAATTATTACTTTGGTATTCTTTTTAAACAAAGTCGAGGAGCAAACGCACTTCACCGTCATAGGACGTTATGGGGTGCCCGCGAAAAATGTCCTGAAGAAGGTTGTGTTTACATAACTTTTTTTGGGTTAGATCGCATACATTTAAATGTGTCATTAAACCCGCCACCACCCGACACAGCCAATTAGTAAAGTTTGTCACAAACAGAACATGCCAATTCATTACCAGTACAGCACACCGGTGTGGTGGGAGAGTAAAAACACATTTACAATTCGAGTACATTCCACCAGTAATTGCAACTAGCATCATCAGGTGACAGCCACATTTGGCTCAAATTCGATAGCCACAAATCTTTCTAATTGGCAATGTCGGGGTGGTGGCAGGTTGCACGACACATTGATATCTACGGGATCAAATCTAAAAATAAATAAAAAACCTCCGGATGATATTGTTCACGAAAGCCCCTTGCGTGTTAAACCGATGTTGTGTTCGTTCCACAACAGGTTGGCATCGTGGCTGGGGGAGTGGCGCAGCAATGTGGGAAGAACGTCAAGAGCAGTTTTTACACGAACGTGGCAAAGATGATGCCGTGGATGAAGAGACACATTCCCGATCTAAATTTTAGTGACGTTTGAGATTTGTTTAAATGTTAATTGTTCACGTTGAGATGTCCCGCATTGCTCCGATTCTAACGCCTTAATATACAACGTGCATTTATAGGACATCAGATGTCTGGGGTTGGTTAGACTTTGTAAGATTGCAAGAGTCAGGCCCAGTCAATAACGCCAATGAAATACACCATTCCCTCGTTATTTGCGAGGGATATCTTGCGTAGATGCTCGGGAATCAAACATTTTGCAGACGATGACAATGGACCACGAAAGCCTAACTTTTTAATGCGTTACCTTAAATAAATACGTAAATAGGCTCTCTCATTTTCGATTTAAAGCTTTCGTGACTGCAGGGATTCATCTTCTTGGTTCTTTCGGTAAAGTCACGTAGAATGGAATTAAAATAATAAAAATAAACATAATATTATGTTTTAACTACGTGACCTCATCTCTCACCGCATTCTCTCTCATCACTTTATCTCTCGATGCAGCAGTCGTGTTGAATTCCAGGGGCGATTCGCGGATAGCCCAAAATCGCTGATAGCAAGTTCGTAAATAACGAGGGAATATTGAATATTGTCGAGTGAGACTCCAGCAAGCGAGCCGAGCTGATTGAGGAGGGCTTCCTGGGACCCCGGAAAACCAAAAGGTCCAACCCTGCTGTGAATGCAACGGAAAAATCTACGTTAATCCACGCAACAATTAAATAAAACACGTGCGCAATTAATAGAAACAGATTTTTTTTTTATATATATGTATCATACCACTTGTTGGCTAAACACCGCAATAAATTAGATTTAAAATTAAAAAAAAAATACAAGTCCTGTGCTTGTGTTGTCCCACGCTGGAAACTGTAGTTGGATCACACAGATGTATGGAGGCAGCGAGGGTTGGGAGATCGGGCAAAAGTTGTGATACTCCCTTCCCGTGGGCGTCGAGGTGGCGAAATACCCTCGCTCGCCAGGAGCAGACGGTAGGAGTAAGCGTGGCCTCTACCGCTTCCATCTGCATCGGATAGAGTCGCTCCTTCCCACACACGTTTATTTCCTCCCACATGTAAACACCCACTAATTGGCTAATTGGGGGGGGGGGGGGGAGTTATTTGGCGCTAGCTTACAACGTGGCTGCCTTTCCCCGCTTGTCTGTGGTTCCCCCTCATGCCTCCCGAAGTTGTTCTTGCTTTTCGAGGAGGCCAATACCGTGGCACGGTGCAAGTGTAAGCGAGCATCGCCACAGAAGTTCTGACGCCGGGCTGTAAAATGGTGCAAGAGAAAAATTGCACGGCAAAAGTACCGTGCACAGACGGGACACACTGGCCCACGTGGTCACCAAGTTGATCCGGTGCGGAGGACGGTGTTAATTTTTGCTAATCCAGTAACGTAAATATTTCGCGAGCAAAATATATATGCATTTTTTTTTATTTTCAGTCAACAATGACCATGACAGCGCGACTGGCCAACTGCCCGCGAATGACCGAAGCATGACGGACGAGACGATATCAACGTGCCCGGGCGGCGGTCGTCACAAGGCCGGTTAAGTCACGGGCGGCGGTGGTCACAAGGCCGGTAGTCGCGGGCAGTCGCCATCGTCTTCCGGATCCACGAGACGTACCGCGACACGTTGGCGTAGACCCCGAAGAAGTGTGGACGTGCGCAGCCCTCCCCCCACGACACCACCCCAACGAGCTTGTCGTTGCATATCAACGGTCCCCCCGAATCACCCTGAGTTCGAAGAGGGGTGAACGCAGGGTAAGAGGGGACGCGCACACACAGGGGAACGACGGATGAGGGAAGGCAAGGGGTGGAGTGTAACGATGCGTCCACTCGCATCGATTATTACGCTCAGGATGCGTACATGGTGTCGCGGAAGAATCGTTTTTTTTTTAATCCCATTCGTGCAAATGCTACGGGTAAAATATGCACCTACGGCAGGCGAACTCGCACAAAGACAAAGATCCACCGTATAACCTTAATAGGCTGCTGGGGAAAGTGCTGCAAGTACCTATGAAGGCCGGCCGCCTTCGTCTCCCTCGTGGCAACGTTTACACATCACACCGGGTATTGATCCGAGTCAGAGTTGACCTAGGAGAGAGGCTCAGGACCAATGCAGATATGAATTGCCGGTGTTGACCGCAAGCAGGAACCGAACTCATAAGGGGAGTGGTGGTGGGGTTCGGCAGGCTTGTATGTATGTTGAACCTCTTTCGCACCGTACGTGGCCAACCGTGCTACGCTGCCAGTACCCCGCTAACGCAGACGCACGGGCGGGCGCACCTGGCACGAGTCCTTGCCACCCTCTTCCATGCCGGCGCACAGCATGCCGTCGGTGACCTGCCCGCTGTAGTAGGAACTGCACACCCTCTGCTCCACAATAGGCACGGCGACGGCCATGAGCTGGTCGGACAGGACGTCGATTCCCTCGGCCGTTATTCCCCAGCCAGACACAAAGCACGACGTGCCCGGGGCCACGGCCCTCTCAGAGAGGGCCACCAGCCCCACCACGCCCCTCGTCACCTGTGCCGGGCTTTTGAGCTGCGGGGGGGGGGGGGGGGTGGGAAGGTGGACAGGGAGTGATGGGGGTTGGTGGCAGGGCGGGGCGGGGGGGGGTGAGAACAAGCGTCTCGTTCAGGATTTAAAAATATATAAGAGGTAAAAGGTGGAGCCCTGCAAGCATCACGTCGCTGCTGGAGCAGTTAAGTGTACAGAAGGGGGAGAGCGCTCGAACGTGTGGCTGGTTTGGGACGGAATGGCAGCCAAAGGGAGGGAGAGCGTGTCCAGAAAGAGGGCCCATCACAGAGATGGACCGAGGCCTGCCACAGAGATGGAACGAGGAAATACCAGACACTTCGCAGGAGTGAGATGGATTATGGCATCGTGGATCCGAGGCGGCGACGGCACAGGTGCTGCGGGGCTACCCAGCACGTTGCTCCAACAACGGCACCAAACCACATACCAACGTTGGCCCAACGTCGGCACGTTTACCGAGTACCACAAAGAAGGGCAGCGCAAGCATCCTCCACCGAAGCCTCCGCACGCGTGAGGCACCTTGAGCAGCAGGAGGTCGTTGTCCATGGTGACCTCGTTGTAGGCCTGATGCTTCACCGCCAGGTTCACGAACCGCACCTGCTCCGTGCTCTCGTGCTCCGAGCGCCTGTGCACGCCCAGCGCCACCTTCAGCTGGTTCACGCTAATTGGCAGAGGAAGAGAGGGCAGGGGGAGGAGCAAAAGGGCTCAACTAAACCTGCACGCCGGATTCCACACCCGAGAGATGGAGGTCTGCGCCAAATCAAATTCGCTGTTGAAAATCGCCTGGCAACAGCTTTGTCCACATCTGAACGAGCAGTTTGGCAGAAACAACGCCCAGCGAATTTTTTTTGTTTGTTCCGGATAACAATAGGCAAGCGGGAAAAAGGTCTTCGTACGTCTCGCCACATTAAAATATTTAAGTATTTCTTACTCAAAACATTGGCCGTACGGCCTTCTGGGAGTGTGCAATCTCAGCAGCGTTTTCAGTGCAAGAAATCCCTGGGCCGGTTTCGACATGCAGGGTCTCATCAGCAGCGTTTTAATTAAGTGCAAGAAAGCCCCGGACTGGTTTCGACATGCAGGGTCTCATTAGCAGCGTTTTAATTCAGTGCAAGAAAGCCCCGGACCGGTTTCGACATGCAGGGTCTCATCAGCAGCGTTTTAATTCAGTGCAAGAAAGCCCCAGACCGGTTTCGACATGCAGGGTCTGGATCAGCAACAGAGCCGGGGGCTTGCCGGAATCAATGCTGGCGAGCCCCCAGATGTTACCAGGCAAGGACGTCACTCTCCCTTTACCATATGGGTCCTAGTTCGACACGCTATTATACTATAAAAATAACTGGTTAGCTCCACCAAACCCACCCACACGAGGATTGAAACGAGCAAATCATAGTTCATAATCCATGTCTTTACAAATCGCTGAGCAGGTCGCTTGAATGTCCGTGTCTCTTTGCAAGCGACCGTTTGCAGAGATGACTGTGCAAGCAATATCAGTCGAATTCAAACCTGGTGGCGATATTTTACATATCGCCACCAGGTAGCCATTTGAGGCCGAGTCGACCTCGAGGACTCCCAGGACCGGTTCAGATAATCGTCGCCGGTGTTGGCCGCGAGCGGGACTCGAACCCGGGTCGCCGGGCTTCGGGGCACTGCGAGCTAAAACCCTTGCACCGCCGCTCCCCCTCGCCACACAAAAGTCACGCGGATTTAAAGGCGTGCTTGAGACGATTTAGAGAGCCAGAGAGAGAGGGGAGAGAGAGGGGGAGGGGGTGGTGTACTCCTTGTAGCAGTGTGCGGCGGTCAGGACCCAGGAGGGCGCGATGAGTGCTCCTCCGCATATGTGGGACCCCCGGTAGAGGAGCGACACCTGGAAGGGCAGCGAATGCGGGACCACCTCAAAGCCCCCCACGATGCGGCTCGCGGGGCGCACCGCGGGACTCCTTGCCGAGCAGCCAGCTGAGGGAGGGGAGGGAGGGGGGTGGACGATAGAGAGAGAGGGGGGGGGAGATTTCCGATCAGCACGGTTGGCTACGTGCGGTGCGCGAAGGAAGTTCAAAATCAGAATCAGAATATTCATTTGTGCTGGAGGAGAAATCCGATTAAGCTCTTTTTGACAGATGTCCAGAATGCAAAGTATAAGAGAGGCAAGAGAATTATTAAAACAATTAAAATTTAAACAAAAGTCTTTGTTTTACCAGGTAAGGCCCCACTGGGCTATTCGCTTCATTTTCAGAAGCGACCTGGCCACAAACGACAGCCAAACGAAGTGGCTTACCACGTGAAAATGTACAACCAAGTCATCGACATAGATACACGTGAGCGGAGAGGATGAAGGCAGGAGTGTGGAGGAAAGAGAGACCAGGATGAGGAGGGAAAGAGGGGGGGAGTGGAAGTGGGGCGGAGAGGGGGGTGGGGGGAGAATCAGGGAGGAAATAAGACAGAGGCGAGGGAGCGAGGAGGGAGCGAAGGGAGAGGGAAAGAGCGAGGCAGGCGTAGAGGCAGATACGAGGGGAGTATGGGTGGGCAAAAGTGTAGGGAGATGGCAGAGAGCGAGGGGGTGAAAGATAGGGGGAGAAGATCGAGGGGGAGGGAGAGGGGGGGGGTGGGGGAGGGAAAGGGGGGTGGGGGAGGGAGAGGGGGGGTGGGAGGGGGGAGGGGGGGGGGGTGGGGGAGGGAGGGGGGGGGGTGGGGGAGGGAGGGGGGGGTGGGGGAGGGGAGGGGGGGGGGTGGGGGAGGGAGGGGGGGGTGGGGGAGAGAGAGGGGGGGTGGGGGAGGGAGAGAGGGGGGGGTGGGGGAGGGAGAGAGGGGGGTGGGGGAGGGAGAGAGGGGGTGGGGGGAGGGAGAGGGGGGTGGGGGACACAAAAAGGAAAGCGAAGAGGAGGAAGACGATGGGGGGGGGGGGGGGGGGGTGTAAGGGGTAGAGAGACGGCAGGGGAAAGGGGGGAGAAGATAATGGTAGGGAGGTGAAGAAGATCGGCAGGGCACAGGAGAGGGAGCGAGAAGAGAGGAAGAAGGGAGAGAGATACGAGGATAGGGGAGAGATGAGCAGGAGGAGTGGGGTTAGAGAGAGCGGGAGGAACAGGAATCGCACAGAATTGGGAGCAGCAAGAGGGGAGAGAGACAGCGAGAGGAGCGGGCCAGTGGTGAAGAGAGCCACGTGTCAAGGACAGCGCGGGGAGTTGGTGAAGCTAGGAGGAGGAAGTTGATGCCGAGAGATTGGGAGAGAGCAAGGGAAGAGTAACATGGACGAGAGGGAGAGTTACTTCCAAAATGAAAGTCGCCTTATGAAATAGAGATGATGATTATTATCGGAGGAGGCAGAGGAGAGGGCAGGAGCGACTTCACCGAGTATAACAACAGAGGAGAAGAACGCGAAAGCCGAAGGAGCAGCAACACTCATCACCACAATCATCCTTCACGTTGCATTCTGTACACGTAACCGCACGCGTATTTGTACGTGTGTATGTTGAAATTATTTCGCACCGTACGTAACCAACCGTGCAAATCAGAAGTGCGGGGGAAGGACAACAAACTAAAGACAGCAAAGCAGTTCTAACAAAACAATTTTACAAATCTAGATTATTCAAAAGTGCCATAGCTCAAATGGCTTCCTAATATCTTAAGGAAGAGCGTTCCAGACGACCACAGAAGCGCATCTGAACGCGCGACGCAGTGACCAATCTTTGTTCAATGGCTCGCCAAAAGCTGCTGCGATAATATTTAATTCGTGGCATGTGCAGTGGATAGATCGTGGATTTATAAGATGGTGGTGGTGATGATGACGATAATAAGAACAAGGATGGGAATTATTTTCTAACAGTGATCGGTCCTGTAGACCGGACTGCTGCCACCATGGAAAATCTGGAATGCCCAACGCTGGCTCCAAACTGCCCCCCATCGCTCGTGAGATCAGGCCATCGTTTTTAACTTAATTTTGTATTCACTAATTGCGCCCTTCGCTTTAAAGGTGTATGGGATTACGGAGCATGATGGGGGTGATAGTGCTCACCACGCTGCGTCTACCAACATGGACCACCCAAGCCCCCTTCCCCAGCCACGGCTCTAACATCGGATGGCGAGAAGCCCTCGACCGCACTGATCAGCGGTGTAGCGAAGTATGGTTACAGCAACAAAAACCCATAACCAACACGGGGTGAAAAGAACTTCATCCATTGATGGATTTCATAATGGCTGGGATTGTCATACCCAGCCTCGCCTCGTGAAACGAGGGGTTAGCTGACCACCATGAGAGCTCCAAACCCCGCCGCGCTGCGAGGAGGCCAACAACGGCAGTACAGCAAGCGAGTTGAACAGTGTAACCAAACTGCGTGAATCTGTTTTACTTTCCAAAGTGTCCAACACAAAGGTGGAAAAACAATTGGGGTGCCGCGGTGGCGAGATGTTAACTCCCTCGCCTGGTGTGCAGGAGGATCGTGGGTTTGATCCCGACCCTGATGCCTACTGTATATTTGGAGTTTGCGTGTATCTCTCTCCCCGTGGTCGCGTGGATTTTTCTCAGGGTCCTCCGGTTTTTCCCTCCACGTTTAGAATCAACATCACGCGTTTCAGAGTATTTGGGCTGCTATAAATGTCCACGTGATAAGCCACTTCGTTGAGCTATCATCTGTGGCCAGGTCGTTTCTCAAAACGAGTTGTGTAGCTCAGTGGACCTTGCCTGGTAACATTTTTTCTAAATGCTCATCTTTAATTTAATTACACATTTATACGGCAGGCGCCAGTAGAGGCACAGTACGCACGATTGGCAACACATTAATCGCAAGGTCCCGCAAACAACAAAACACCTTACCTGCAGACACGAGCGCCATGATCACACACATCATCAGCTCCATGGCACACCCGGAGATACGCGAGTATCACGTGCACACCTGTGGACACGTGACGCTAAATCTCCTCCTGTAGCCACCTATTTAACTGGTGGGGGTGGGGCGGGTAAGGAGTGGTGGTGGGGGGATCTCTGAACGCCGTTCTGTCCAATCACAAGCCGGCGGCATTGATTCAAAGTGCCATACCTATCAATCCATACGGTTTACCCCGTATTCTTGTACGGTGAATGTTGCGTTTTCAGGTCCATACGGCGTGCTGCCGTTTCCATATGGGCAAAAAATACGTTTGTGTCTATTTATTTGTGTTTCTCCCCTGTGCTGGGAATTTCTAGGATAAACGTTGAGATTTATAAGGGCACGCGTTGACCAATAAGGTGTGGATCGGTCTGTAATAAGGTAGGGCACTGATAAGGGGCTGATATGTATGAAGTGCCGATCATTCGGATGACAGATCCAGTAATAAGTGTCGACTTCTGCATTATCGGGGCTGTGGTAGGGGTGTTAATAAAACATGCACGTTTAATTGTTGTATGTGAATGTGCGTAAACAGGAGTGGTTACGTGAGTACTAGCTGGCTGTATTAATACAAACATACCATCAATAACAGCTGCGCGAAGGCACATCATTCGTGCCGTTATCAAACCGCGAGTCGCAACGCCAGAAGATAAGCCATGTTCCCACCTCGCCGTGCGTGATAGAATTCAGAATGAAGCAGTCCGATTGATTGATGATGCGGCACACATTGGGTTCACTCCAGCCACTCGCTCACGGGCGGTCTGTCGCCTCCTTATCACTCCTGTGTCGCTACTATCATGGTTTTCGCGAAAAGTCGCTCGTAGAGTCCCCACCACACACTACGTTGACGACTCGTCCACACTGTGTTCAACCACCACCGTACAACACTCAGACTCAGAATCTGTATTTATCCGGGAAGAAATCAGATCAGCTATGAAGCTCTTTTTTCACAAATGTCCAGTAGCAGGAGCGGCTTTGGGGGGGGGGGGCGGTACGGAGAGGTGGGCAATGCCCCCCCCCAAACTGGATGCCTTTATTAATCTATTTTCAGTCGTTTACAAATGAGATTAAACGTGAATTAACTAATTACATGCATCCGCGATTCCTCGTGCGAAAAGCGCCCCCCTGCCCCCCCAAATATAGAAGTCAAACTTCACCTAAGTCCTGTAGACTCACACATTTCCTATAGTCTCACACATGTCCAGTAGTCTCACACATGTCCAGTAGCCTCATACATGTCCAGTACTCTCACACATGTCCTGTAGTGTCACACATGTCCAGTAGGCTCACACGTGTCCTGTAATCTCACACATGCCCTGTAGTCTCACACGTGTCCAGTAGTCTCACACATGTCCTGTAGTGTCACACGTGTCCAGTAGTCTCACACATGTCCTGTGGTCTCACACGTGTCCAGTAGTCTCACACATGTCCAGGAGTCTCACATATGTCCTGTAGTCTAACACATGTCCTGTAGTCTCACATGTGTTCCGTAGTCTCACACGTGTCCAGTAGTCTCACACATGTCCTGTAGTTTCACACATGTCCAGTAGTCTCGCACATTTCCAGTAGTCTGACACATGTCCTGTAATCTCACACATGTCCTGTAGTCTCACACGTGTCCAGTAGACTCACACGTTTCCAGTTGTCCCACACATGTCCAGTAGTCTCACACGTGTCCTGTAATCTCACACATGTCCTGTAGTCTCAAACATATCCAGTAAATATCACACATGTCCAGTAGTCTCACACATGTCCTGTAGTGTCACACATGTCCTGTAGTCTCACACATGTCCAGTAGTCTCACACATGTCCTGTAATCTCACACATGTCCAGTAGGCTCACACATGTCCCGTAGTGTCACACGTGTCCAGTAGTCTCACACGTGTCCAGTAGTCTCACACATGTCCAGCAGTCTCACACATGTCCTGTAGTGTCACACGTGTCCTGTAATCTCACACATGTCCTGTAGTCTCACACATATCCAGTAGTCTCACACGTGTCCTGTAATCTCACACATATCCAGTAGTCTCACACGTGTCCTGTAATCTCACACATGTCCAGTAGACTCACACATGTCCAGTAGTCTCACGCGTGTCCTGTAATCTCACACATGCCCTGTAGTCTCACACGTGTCCAATAGTCTCACACATGTCCTGTAGTGTCACACGTGTCCAGTAGACTCACACATGTCCTGTAGTTTCACACATGTCCAGTAGGCTCGCACATTTCCAGTAGTCTGACACATGTCCTGTAATCTCACACATGTCCTGTAGTCTCACACGTGTCCCGTAGTCTCACACGTGTCCAGTTGTCCCACACATGTCCAGTAGGCTCACACGTGTCCTGTAATCTCACACATGTCCTGTAGTCTCAAACATATCCAGTAAATATCACACGTGTCCAGTAGTCTCGCACATGTCCAGTAGTCTCACACATGTCCTGTAGTGTCACACATGTCCTGTAGTCTCACACATGTCCAGTAGTCTCACACATGTCCTGTAATCTCACACATGTCCAGTAGACTCACACATTTCCCGTAGTGTCACACGTGTCCAGTAGTCTCACACGTGTCCTGTAGTCCCACACATGTCCAGTAGACTCGCACATGTCCTGTAGTGTCACACGTGTCCTGTAATCTCAGACATGTCCTGTAGTCTCACACATATCCAATAGTCTAACATGTGTCCAGTAGTCTCACACATGTCCAGTAGTCTCACACGTGTCCTGTAATCTCACACATGTCCTGTAGTCTCACAAATGTCCTGTAGTCTCACACGTATCCAGTAGTCTCACACATGTTCTGTAGTGTCACACGTGTCCAGTAGTCTCACACATGTCCAGTAGTCTCACACATGTCCAGTAGTCTCACACATGTCCAGTAGTCCCACACGTATCCAGTAGTCTCACACGTGTCCTGTAGTGTTACACATGTCCTGTAGTCTCACACATGTCCAGTAGTCTCACACATGTCCTGTAGTCTCACAAGTGTCTAGTAGTCTAACACATGTCCCGTTGTCTCACACGTGTCCTGTAGTGTCACACGTGTCCAGTTGTCTCACACATGTCCAGTAGTCTCACACGTGTCCAGTAGCCTCACACGTGTCCAGTAGACTCACACGTGTCCAGTAGTCTCACACGTGTCCAGTAGTCTCACACATGTCCAGTAGTCTCACACGTGTCCAGTAGACTCAAACGTGTCCTGTAGTCTCACACGTGTCCTGTAGTCTCACACATGTCCAGTAGTCTCACAAATGTCCTGTAGTCTCACACATGTCCAGTAGTCTCACACATGTCCAGTAGCCTCACACGTGTCCAGTAGTCTCACACATGTCCAGTAGTCTCACACGTGTCCAGTAGACTCACACGTGTCCTGTAGTCTCACACGTGTCCTGTAGTCTCACACATGTCCTGTAGTCTCACACGTGTCCTGTAGGCTCGCACATTTCCAGTAGTCTGACACATGTCCTGTAATCTCACACATGTCCTGTAGTCTCACACGTGTCCAGTAGACTCACACGTTTCCAGTTGTCCCACACATGTCCAGTAGTCTCACACGTGTCCTGTAATCTCACACATGTCCTGTAGTCTCAAACATATCCAGTAAATATCACACATGTCCAGTAGTCTCACACATGTCCTGTAGTGTCACACATGTCCTGTAGTCTCACACATGTCCAGTAGTCTCACACATGTCCTGTAATCTCACACATGTCCAGTAGGCTCACACATGTCCCGTAGTGTCACACGTGTCCAGTAGTCTCACACGTGTCCAGTAGTCTCACACATGTCCAGCAGTCTCACACATGTCCTGTAGTGTCACACGTGTCCTGTAATCTCACACATGTCCTGTAGTCTCACACATATCCAGTAGTCTCACACGTGTCCTGTAATCTCACACATATCCAGTAGTCTCACACGTGTCCTGTAATCTCACACATGTCCAGTAGACTCACACATGTCCAGTAGTCTCACGCGTGTCCTGTAATCTCACACATGCCCTGTAGTCTCACACGTGTCCAATAGTCTCACACATGTCCTGTAGTGTCACACGTGTCCAGTAGACTCACACATGTCCTGTAGTTTCACACATGTCCAGTAGGCTCGCACATTTCCAGTAGTCTGACACATGTCCTGTAATCTCACACATGTCCTGTAGTCTCACACGTGTCCCGTAGTCTCACACGTGTCCAGTTGTCCCACACATGTCCAGTAGGCTCACACGTGTCCTGTAATCTCACACATGTCCTGTAGTCTCAAACATATCCAGTAAATATCACACGTGTCCAGTAGTCTCGCACATGTCCAGTAGTCTCACACATGTCCTGTAGTGTCACACATGTCCTGTAGTCTCACACATGTCCAGTAGTCTCACACATGTCCTGTAATCTCACACATGTCCAGTAGACTCACACATTTCCCGTAGTGTCACACGTGTCCAGTAGTCTCACACGTGTCCTGTAGTCCCACACATGTCCAGTAGACTCGCACATGTCCTGTAGTGTCACACGTGTCCTGTAATCTCACACATGTCCTGTAGTCTCACACATATCCAATAGTCTAACATGTGTCCAGTAGTCTCACACATGTCCAGTAGTCTCACACGTGTCCTGTAATCTCACACATGTCCTGTAGTCTCACAAATGTCCTGTAGTCTCACACGTATCCAGTAGTCTCACACATGTTCTGTAGTGTCACACGTGTCCAGTAGTCTCACACATGTCCAGTAGTCTCACACATGTCCAGTAGTCTCACACATGTCCAGTAGTCCCACACGTATCCAGTAGTCTCACACGTGTCCTGTAGTGTTACACATGTCCTGTAGTCTCACACATGTCCAGTAGTCTCACACATGTCCTGTAGTCTCACAAGTGTCTAGTAGTCTAACACATGTCCCGTTGTCTCACACGTGTCCTGTAGTGTCACACGTGTCCAGTTGTCTCACACATGTCCAGTAGTCTCACACGTGTCCAGTAGCCTCACACGTGTCCAGTAGACTCACACGTGTCCAGTAGTCTCACACGTGTCCAGTAGTCTCACACATGTCCAG